TTTGGCCTGCTTTTGATCCACTTGCTGTCTTGTGTCAAGGTATTGCTATCTCAGTTTGTCCTCATTTAAAATTAGCAGAATAGCACCTAGCTTAGTTCAGTGAAAATTGTCTAAGTGCCAGCACAACTGAACTTCAGCTCCCTGAAACAGAGCATAAATGTGAAGAGGAACTAAGAAGACAGCTTGTAAGAGAACTGAACTTCAGCTGGCGCTAGAAAAGCTAGTCCAAAGGACACATCCAGGTCCAGACGCTATCAAAGGTTAATCTGTTGTTGCTTAACATACCACATTTCCTCAGTTCATGAACTGTGAGCTGTTCTGTTTCTCATGCAGCAGCTCCATCTGTTGTCAAAAACGAAAAGTGGACTTTGCATTGGGACTACCGTCACAGGGGAGGGGAAAAAAATACAGAAATAGACTTGAATAATTTTAAATATCTCTGGACAATTTCTGTACACATCCCCAGTCAGCCCTGCAAGAACACCAGCCAGCCTGTTACCCGCCTGTGTAAACCAACTAACCAAACTGAAATTACAAGAGGAGGTAACACTCACACAAGCCTCAGAATTCTTTGTTCATACAGCTTCAGGACTAGTTTTCTCAAAGCTAACTCCTGCTCTTCACTATCTGCAATTATTAGTGCTCTGCTGTCCAAAGCTACCATGGTATCAAATCACACTGGTGAGGTGCTGACACTCGGTTGCCCTACAATAAATGTGCCCGGATACTCCTGTACTACAGGATGTTCATGGCAATTTTCAACTACGTACAAGTGATTTAATTGAGCTGAACAAATATAAATTTAAGCTCATTATTTTGATGACTAATTCAGTTCTTAAAAACAAAAGTTCTGTTTCCTTTATGAAGCACAGAGCTTGAGTTGTTAGTCTGAGGACACAAATAAACATTTCTTTACAAGAAGCACAAAGGAATTTGGTCCTAGAACGGCACAGTTGTGGCAAGACCACACAGACCCAGAGCTCGTAAATCTAGTGAGATCTACTCTGATTCTTGTAGAACTTTGATTCTTAGATGCATTTATTTTTATGTTCTTCTCCACTCCTATAGGTAGTGATATCGATTATTACATGAAATACCAGACTCTCACAAAACCTGTACATCCTGTGCAACCCATGCAGCAGCACTACAGATCTGATGTGCTGCCAGCTCTGCCTGTTCCGGCCCCAGCTTGCTCTCCTGAGGCACCCAGGTGCCCAGGACTCCTGTGCCACGCTCTGAGTCCTGCAGCAGCAGACATGTTCCTGATCAGAACTACAGATTTTAAGGAAGAGTCTTGTTTTTTGTTCTTCCCATTTAGAAGGTTTTTCAAAGACTCCAAATTATTCTCAGTAAAATATTCTCAGTCACCAATTTCCAGGCATTTCCCACATCTCACCATATTTCTCTGTCACCTCACAACATCGTGTCTAGCAGAGACTTCAGGAACATATTTTCACTATTTTCACTTATCACCTTCCAGATTCCCCCACAGTTTTTGTTTTTTTTTCTCTCATGTGGCACTGGAAAGCTACAAAATGCTGCAGTGTACAGGGTGCACAGTAAACATACCCATGTTTTTCCCAAGTACTTTAATTCAAATACTATTGTTTTAAGAAAACGTGTTGAGATTGTTTCTAAAAACCTCCAGTGTTGGAAATCACCTATATTAAAAGAACTTCCTGTGTGAAGTGTATTTAAAAGAATATAAGGTTTGGAGCTGACCCAGTGTAGCTTCCATATTCTTGATATGGAAAAGGTTTTTTTGGGTCTGAAATTGAATTTTCACATTTAGCCCAATATGAGAAATGCTTGTATTTACTAATGCAGAATCAGACCTAAACTAATTTGTCAATGTTTCATGTTCATGTGTGTTCCAAGACCCAGTCCTACCAAGATTTCTTTACATAACTTTATTTGAGGATGCTTGGGGGAACAGTTCCACAACATAAGGAAACTGTGGAACAGGATTCCCTTATGTTCCCTCTAATATAAGGGTTAATATTGAAACCACCCAAGTGTGATGACAATAAATATTTTATGTACAGTACTGATGGAAAAACAACAATCCGTCTCTCAGAAGAGGTAAAGGCACAGGCCTGCCAAGCACCTCACAGCAAGCTGCAGTCACCCTTCCCCTCCCTGCCCCCGGCCGTGCATGTAGGCTGCCTCGGGACTTGTTTACACAGCAGCTAATACGGCTAAGCCTATTCATACTAGTTTAAAAAAAACGGAGAAATGATAAAAAGCGCGTCATTAACGAGTGAAAAAGAAAGCGCCCAGCATCAAGGGCACTTACAGTCAGAGCAGGGTCGCGCAGGCTCTATGGGCGGCGTGCGGAAACTCCAACAGGTGGCTCCGTGGCGCAATGGATAGCGCATTGGACTTCTAGAGGGTTGAAGGGATTCAAAGGTTCCGGGTTCGAGTCCCGGCGGAGTCGCATGTGCTCTTTTATTTTCCTTCCTCTCTCCGCGTGGCTGCGACCTTTCCCCCTACCCCGCCCCCTCCTTCCGTCCCTTCCCTCACGGCCGCGGTAACCGAGCCGACCGGCCTGGCGCTTCCCGGCGGCCGGCTCCCGGCAGCGAGTCCCTGCGCGGCAGCGCCGAACCCAACACGGACGCCCCCGCGACGGGGCGCTCGGGCCCGCCTCCTGCCTCAGGCTGCGACCGAGCCCTGAGGCGCGCGGGGCGCCAACGGCCGCCTGTGGCCGCCCGCCCGTGCCTCATGCAAGGAGTGGTTTTAAAAAAAAATGTTTGGAAAGAAAGGTCCCAAGCAAACCCTGACAATAGCAACGACCTCGACACTTGTATCTGAGCAACTGAGTCATGCTGTTAGGTTTCTAGAACCAACTCTGGAACACGGTCTTAGCTGGAAATAAGGCTACTTCTCTCCTTCAGTGATGGTCTGACACAGATCTAGTCAAAGTAATTTTCAAGCAACAAAACGCCCACAAAATGCAGCAAATGAAACAAGCATTTAATGTGTCAATTAATACCATCTTTTCTTCCTAACCTATGCATACCAATAAAAAGAAGACAAAGAGCCACTTTAATTAGACCTATCAAAACAAAAATTTGGGTGGTAAAATAATAATAATAGAAAAGCAGCAGCAATAAGCAAACCTCGATGCTATTCATGTCTGAAATAAATTCATGATTTATTCACAACTTAAATTCATGATGCGATTCATGAATTATATTTAATTAAAAAAATGCTTTTTAATCCTGCACAGGTGACTACAGCCTCTCTTTCAAATCATAATAACGTTTATTTAATAACAAGGTAAAGCCCCATAACTGAAAATGAGCCACACTATTAGTAACACCAACTATGACTGTTTGACAGCAGAGAAGCCCATTCAGGAATGCTATCTAGCTATAAAATATGTAAAACCCTTTACAGAAACATCCAGTGTTCCTGAATTCACGGTTAAACAGCCAACACTAACTTCTCTTACATGAATCCCATAAAAGCAACTAAGTCAAGCGACAGACAAAATCTTCCTCATCCCGTCACTTCCAGCAATGCATTCATTTCCAACTACTACTCTCCTTAGTTTTGTATTTAAGGGTAATGCCACAAAATCTGCCTAGACCCCAGTGAAAGAAATAGAAGGCCAAGGCTTTCACATTTCACATTTACATGTTGCAAGCAACATTTACACAACCATACTTGAGAAGTGCGTAAGTTAATTAAGAGAGAGACGTGCCTGATGGCGAAGCGGGGAATTCCTTGGCACAAGCACACAAGCAGTAGCAGCAGGGACAGCTCTCCCAGTGCGCAGGCACAAGCCCCTGTGGGGAAGTACAGGGGGACAACTCCACAAAACGTGCGTGTGAAGAAGGGCTTGAAGAAAACGTTGCAAGGACAATACACGCAGTCTTTTGGAATGCATTAAGAGAATCAGAAGGAAAATAATCAAGAATTGTAGCAAACAATATAAACTGGACAGATCATTAGGCAGCTTCAGTTTTAAAGGGACTGTTGATTGCAGGGAGATTAAAAATGCCCAAGGTATGGAAAAAGAAGCATGAGCAACAAAGGAAAATGAGAAGTATTTTACTTCTGCACCTAAATTAACCGTAACTACTGGTGGTACTGCCCCAGTACCACATCAGCCACCCTTAGCTATGTTTCTGTTGCTCTTTAATCTCAGGGAAATTTGTCAGTAACTGTTTATATCATTACAGGCAGAATTAATGTAACACAAGCATTTCTGACAGCACAATTAAAAGAAAATACTTGCAATTTATAGTCAAATAGTTTCTCAAATTATGCTAGTGTTTAACAATTTTTTGTTGACAAATTTGAGTATTTTCAGAGAAATCTTATCATCTGGTAAGTTTATGGCGTCACGTGGTGCATTTTGTTTTCACCTGCTCTCCCTAGCAACTTAAAATTTGTCACTTTTAATCAAATTCAATTGATTAAATTGAAATTAAGGAGCACTCCAAAGTATTATGTTGCCATGCTTTTATGAAAATAGGTCATTGCAAAACAATATGCCAAACTGGTGCCTTCACTGGAAGAGGCTGAATGAAGCACAAAGTGAGGCAGTAGTTGACTGGCACGCTGGCAAACGTGAGGTGCAGGTCCTGCCCTGCAGCCCTGCTCACACTGTCTAATGTGTCCCCTTCTTGCTCCCACAGTAGAACATGAGCACTTGCTGGACACAGCATGTGGCAAAACAGAAGACATTAGGACATCTGAAGGAAGGGCAAAGATAAAGAATATAAAACAAATCCCACACTAGCTGATGTTGTATATAAATTAGCTTGGTTTAATATTTGCAACAAGCTATTAAGCAGCCTGAACAACCAGCATGGCACTGTTGCTTGCTGCCTAAAACCAGAACTTGCTCTTCTCTCTTAGGGCCCTTCAGGGTAGCACAGTGCTTTTCCGGAGTTCAGCTGGAAGATCCCAAGATGCAACAGAATAACAACTACTCTGGTGGCTTGTTTTCTTTCCTCAGTGTTCAGTAGTCATTTTCTGTGCTTCCATTTCTCATCCAGAGAACAAGACACCATAGTTGTTTTTATTGTCTTTTTATCATTTACAGGTTCAAGATTTTAGCTCACATACAACTGTATTAGAATAGTATCTGCATGGTAGCAGGGACCTGGGGGCAAGTGGTTCTACAACTACATGTTTCATACTTCCCAGCAAATTCACTTTACTTTGTGCACCATTTATCTCTAGGTAACTCGTGCTTTTTAAGGAATCTATGTCCTTGTCTGTGCTTGGTAATGAATATTTATGGCTAACTTCAAAAGAATATAAAAAAAATCCAAAGGCTCATGGGAAATTTTCTTTCATATTTCAGTTGGTGATCAGTAAATACCATGATTCTCATTTCATTTTAGCTACCTCCAGCACAAATAGCTAATATCCTTAAAATAAAACACATAAAAAATCTACTCATTCTCAGGAGAAAAAAAAATCATAGTTAAACACTGGTCAAAAACATCCTTTTCACTTAAAATCAACAACCTTTAAAACTCAGTACTTTCAAGAAAACAATAAATATCACTGGTCCTCTGATAATCTCTTTTATATATTCCTCACCCAATCCATCTGAGGCAATGTAGCAGTCTTATTTCTTCTATTATCTGTCTTTTCTGCAATAACTGAATTAAACTGACTCTAACCGCAATATGATAACTAGGTCATTAAAAAACAAACCGCACAAAACTTTTCACAGTCACAGTACGTCATGAACTGTCACTGAAGGGAAACTGAACTAATACCATCTTTATTCTTCCAAACTCACTCTATTCATTTTCCTGAATAACTATTCCAAATCAGCTACCAGACCGTATTCTGCAGACCACACCCTAGGTAATGGACCCAATTGTCAAATTCTTTTCACAAAAATCATCAAATAATGATTAAAAGGGAAAAGCTAATAAAAGTGACAGAAGACTGGATGTTAAAATTTTGCATATAGATAGTTACTATATTATTTTATGAATAAGCAATACTATATACTTTAATATTTATTTATAGTTACATATATTATTTGTATATATGTGCATATGCTGAATTCCACAGCATCCTCATCCCTGTTACGTTCAGTGCTGAAATAAACTCTTCACAACCAAACTATTTCTCAATACCCCCTGTTACATTTGGCCAGAAGCACCTCTGATAAGACCTAGAAAATTTGCTACGATATATAATGTATATAATGGGTGTGAAGGTGAATTACACACCTAACTTTAAACTAAATTTACTAATTCAGTCACATAAAGACTGAAGACTGAGCAAGACATAACCAATGAATTTGGATGTTGTTCTCAAATTTAACAATATGCTTTCAAATCATCAACTTTAAAAATAAACATTAAATATACATTACATATAAACTCTTTTTTTTTTTTTTTTATAAAGCTTCCTAACACATTCCTACTGCAGAAGTTTCCCTAACCCTCAATTTACATGACTTCCAATCTTAAAAAAACAAAACAAAACAAAAAAAACACACCACAAACCAAGGAAATCTGTGGAAAGTTTTATAACAAATAAGTTGTTCCAGCTTGTTATTTTTCTTCAAGTCTTAATTGTGAAATTTCTTCTTCTTCCGATTCTTCTTCCCTGCTGCAAAAGCTGCTTTTTCACTCATGATCTCCTGATACTTCCTTTTATTATATCTGAACAAAATAGATAATTTACTTTTAAGCAAGGCAAATCAAGTTTCAGGAAAAGATAATATGGATACTTATGCATACATAAAGGGATATCAACACTTGGATTTCAGATAAATGCAGGTCACCTTATTTTAGAAATAAATTTGATTCAAGAATCAAGAATTCTGGTATAATCATTGTTTTTTTTCATTGTGTATATAATCACATTTTGGACAGTTTGTTAAAATGCTGCTACTGCTCCTATTGGGTAGACTCGCCAATTTCAACAATGCTATGGATACATTTTACCCGTTTTTATAATACTCTCTCAGCAAACTTAGCTAATCAACCTTACTCTACTCAAGATGGGAGAGTGAGATGACATTAATATCACACAATACGTACTGAATATGAGCTGCTAGCTCCTCTACAAGACTTTTATGTACCTATCACAATGGATCATTGCACACTTTGTGGTACTTTTAATTGCAAGACTAAAAACATTTATCTGCACTAATGCTAAAAGAGTTGGTTAAAGTCCTAATTAGTCATAAGTTAGCTGATCAAATTTCAAAGAAATTCATTTTTTAAAGTTGCTTCTAATAAATACCTTATGAATCAGGTCAAGCCAGAAAACTAGTTAAGAGACAACTATACTAACTTGCCTTCCAGACATTAACAATGAATTTACAAGCCTGACAATACTAACCTTATTAGCCTAAATCATGTACTATTTCCAAGAAAACATGTCATTATGAGGGGAAAAAAGTAATACAAATTAACATCATGTAACGACTAATATAAAAATGGATCAATTAAGGGATCTCTTCCAAAAATCTGGAGGTTAGGCCAAAATTAAATCATCCATATTGTGCAGTTTTGATTCCTATGACAGGTGGCAGACTGACATACTTATCAAATAAAATCCCACCAACTTCCACATTATTATGGTCAACATTTTTCTATCACATGCCAAGAAAATCTAGTAAGTCTTCACACAAACAAACAACAACAACAAAAAAAATGTTGATGCATAGGCATAAAGCACTCAGTTTTTGGTACAAGCCTGTGTGGACACCTATTTTAGAAGTGAACCAGAACAAGCCTGAATGTTTTCTTTTCAACACTAACAGTACTTTAAGAGTAACTGCCAATAGCAATGACCCCTGAGGTGGGTAAAGCCCTTTTACGAAGATAAAAAAAAAATAAAAAATGCTATCACATTACAATTATCTCCTGTCCCTTAGATCTTCTCAATGACAATTGATGAATTGCTAAAACAGACTAAAAAGGTTTCTTTGAAATTAACAACAACATATAAACTGAATGGAAACAACAGCAGAGCTATATAGTTAAAAATACACTTCTCTACACGTGGTATTAGAAATACAGAACTATTTTAAAATACCTTCTAAACTCAGAATCTGCAAGCAGCTCTTCAACAATTGTTTTCTTCCTTTGTTTCTTAGGAATTCGACTATGATAAAAGTCTATGGGAGAATCAACCACAGTTCCAACCTAAAAAATAAAAATTATAAATATTCTTACTGTAATGGCAAGATGTTATTTTTTAATCCTTAACGACAATTCTAAAGGCAGCTACAGAGAAGATCAGAATGGTATTTATTATATAGAAGTGCAAAATGTCAAAAAAGTAAGCAATATTTTGTACGCAGAGTCATTTTTTGCTTCATGCTTAGTGGACACAGGAGGGTCTCAGCTTTAGGACAGTATGATTTTCAACATCAGACTGCTGTATCAATATTTAAGAAATCCAGTTAACTTTCAAACGTCTTCCTGAGGAGTGAAAGGAAATTCTTATGAGTGCTAGTTTGTTAGATGGGTTCCACAGCAGCTCTAATAAAAGCTTCATCCTGTAAGGCATCACATTTCTTCCAATTGGCATGTTGGCCAGTTCTAACATGTTTGTATGTCCATAAACTTCAAAACACACAATGAAATCCAGTAAAATCCACCCTTTAGAATGAAATGGAAATGTTAAAAATTTCCTCAAGCATGCTAACTATTCAGAGACATAAGTAGATGGAACTGAGTCCATTTCCACAGTTTCTCCAATAATTATTTTCTTTAAGCAAAATGTTTTACAGGCGAGAGCTTTGAAAGCAGCAGGAATTCTAGCTGTTCACAAAGCTAGTTGTATCCATTCAAACTATATTAGCTAGTAAGAAAATAAATGCTATTTATTATCTACACGCTAATCATAAAGGCTAGTACTTTAAAAGCAGTAGAAACCTAGCCACTGAGGGTTCAGAATAACAATTAAGTCAGGTGTTCATTCAGTCCTATGAAATCAGCTGTAATAAAAAAACAGCTGTAATAAAAAACAGCATATACAATTGCTTAATAAAAATAAAAATAAAAAAAATATATACCACTGCTTAACTATTTAATATAGTTAAGCAATTGTGAACTGCATCAAATTACTCAAAATACTTTGTAATTTAGCTATGAAGTTAAATCAACAAAAACAGAGGGCACCTATAAAATAGGTAGAGAGTAACTGTTCAGAACACCTGAGAGTAGCACAATGCCTTCTTTTGTTTCTTCCTTACCTGGAAGTACTTGGGTAGACCATCTCTATCATTCTTTTTATAAAAATGCTTAGGGTCCAATGAAGCTCTCATCTTCAAAACTTTAAGATCGTTTTTAAGTTCACTTGTAATTTCTGGGGCTTTCATACCAAACCAGCCATCACCTGTTGTCTTCTCTCGCTCTGCCTAGGATGCAGTACAAGAATAATAAAGTTCATTCAGCTACCAGGACAGGATACAGCTATGAACTTCCCCCTCCTCCCTCCAAAAGATGGATAAAGCATTTAGAACGTAACTTTGTACCTTTAAAAAGTGTATTTTATGACTCTTTCGGTAAGATCATCAGCACTGTATTAATCCCAGATTTGTATCCCATGAGTACACATTAGATTTCCCTCCACTGTACTAGTTACTTACTAAAAGGATTGCTTTTCACAAGATGGCTCAAAGATAATAAACTGTACTTTAACACTCCACTTTCTGTGAGCCATGTAAGTGCACACAGTCCCAGTGTGGGGTTTTCTGCTAAAGATGCTGTGTTGTCATTTGAAGCATTAACAGCTCTTCACTTACTCTGCGCTGTTTCTTTAGCTGGTGAAGTGATTCCCTGAAGGGTGGGACACATTCCTTTTTTTCAAAATCTGGAGTTATTATACTCTTCTGCAAGAGCTGCAAGATATTATTTTTAAATATCAGTCAGTCATACCAGCAATACAAACATACTGTTTACCTGTATTTACAGAACTTACCAAAGGAATGATACAGAACCTAAGCAAGCATTATAACAAAGCATTTGAGTTGCAAACCCTTTATTTGATGTGCAACAAAAACAGCAGTAGCCTTTGAAACAGAGGGAGCAGAACCCTGGCCAGCAACTTGGCTAACTCTGGAAGACAGAAGATAGCGAGTGCTCCATAATGAAGTGGGCTATCATGGATGAGCCTAAGAAAACAGTCCCAACAAAAATAATGGATTTCCTTTATTTCTAAGGGTGTTTTGATATAAAACTACTTATCTCCTACTAGGAATGGTACAGTCCTGTACTTACTGAAATTCATTCTTGCTACACACTACGTATCTTTTAGCAGACTTTAAGCTCATGTGCTGTTAGGCAAACCTGCATGCACTATCAACCTTTTTATTTTACATGACAATGCTGGTACTCATGCTGCTTTTCTATGTCAGAAGTGTCACATGTGCTTGAATTCTTATGATTAAAACCAAGTGTAAACATACACTTGGGCCAAAATGAGCGGAGGTTCTCAGCAAACCAGAAAACAGGATACTTCTTTAAAAACAAGTAAACCAACCTTATCGAAGTTAACAACTTTGTGTTACTGTAGTCATGGGTAACTGCATAATTGTAAACACATTACCTGGTCCTTCTTTTTCTCCATCGGTTGTTTAATTATGCTTGAACTAGGCTTTTGTTTTTTTCCATCAAAGCTTATATATAAACCTCCGAGCTTTTTAATGTTCAAGCCAGGGTCTATGCTGCTGGAAAGATGCAAACTGAAAGAGAAATAGTTAACGTTCAATATATTGTAATAAGTCACCTTCTGTCCTCTGAATAGGAAAGGCAGAAAACAATTTTTTTCTTCTTCCAACTTATGTTCAGTACTGCAGTTAAGTCTCAGTATCTAGAAGAAATACCTAATTAAGAGGTGACAGAAGATAAAGGGGAAAAATCAGGCCGCTACACAAAGTGAGGGTTTTTAAAGAGCAATACCTATAGATTCACTTCCACGTATCTTTCACATTAACTCTAATGTTGCATTCCTATCTTAGATATTTCTATATTCTGTAGAAGTGAATTATCAATTTGATTAACCTTGTAAAAGAACTTATAATCAGTTTCCTTCTTCTATACATAGCTCGCTAGCTAAAGAGGAAAAAAAAAGGCCAAACACATAGGTGGTAAAAATATCTTCAACTTTTAGTGAAAAGTATGAAGATGTTAGAATTCATCAGAGGAATGTTGGAATGGTAAGTCACTGTCTGTATAATAATGCTAGGAATAATGTTATTTAACAATTCAAAGCTAGGATGTTTCACCTTTTCTTTCTTCATTATTACATTCAGGCAGCCAAAGAAATGCATCCATAAACCAAGTATGATGGCTGACTCAAGAGGAGCTTTTAAATAACAAGAATGCATAACACCTATTATTTTTATTTAATCAATCGATTATGTATTGATTATATCAATACATAACATTATATTTTATATACTATATATTATATATAGAATAATATTTTATAAAATATTTATAATATTTTACATATTATGGAAAATATGCCAACATCTAAACTGGTATCTGGTATTTATTGTAGCTTGAATGTTTATATACGTTATGAACTAATAATCTGTAACACCTTTACACAGAATACCTGTCTTTTGTAAGACTTCTGACCCACCTGAATGTTTCTTAGAAGAGTAAGCCTTAAATTTATCAGACCTAAACAGAGTATTATGCTTTAAACACACGAAGCATGCAAAGGGGCTTTAGCAGGGAGTTGGACTAAATGAGTTTAAGAGGTTCCATCCAGCCTAAATTATTCTGTAATTTTAGGCTGGGCTGTTTTTGCTTGAGGTGTTACAATGTCACAATCTATATCTTCCCTGAGCCATCCTGTGAAAACAAGAACTGAAAACGTAAAAGCTTATGCACATGTTTAGGATTAAAAAGCTTGACCTAATTAAATAACATGCAAGTGATTTATTAGACTTCCATTATTTATACCCCCCTCAATTTAAATAAATAAAAACCTTTGCTCTGAAACAGCAATTAAGTCAGCCTGACCAGTTTAAGCCAGTTTCACATTTTTATTTTTTTTAATGCTAAACACATACAAGGCTTCAAGATACCTAAATATTTCTGACACTTCTGTTCTGCTCCACGTAAACCTGAAAAAATAACTGAATTATAACTCTGATAATCTGAGCAATCCATTTCCACATCTATGACAACACTACTCCCTCGTTTTTTCTGTCACTGAGCACATAATGCATGTCATGTGAATATGCTTAAATATAATGCAGATTTTCTTAGTTACTCCCAGAAAGATACTTACACATCAATTTTATTTTTCAATAAATCATCATCTTCATCTTTCTCATCTTCATCTATCAGTTCTTCTTCAGCCTCTTCTAGATCTGAGGATTCTTCAACTTTTTCATTTCCTTCATATTTACTTTCAACATCACTAGCTTGGTCTACCTGATCTAGATAATACTTTTGGTTGGAACCCATGCCAGGCTCAGTATCAATCACAAAAAGCCCTTCAACATGCAGTGAATTCTTTTTTAAAGGTTTGGTCATGGAAGGAGTCCTTTCATCTGCCTCCATGTAACTCTTATTCTCTTCCACTGTATCTGTGTCTGCCACATCACTATTTTCAGATTCATCGCTTTCATCTTTGCTCAGAAACAATGTAAGGGAATTATTTCCACTGCTTGATCTTTCACTGCTGTGGGATACAGAATCAGCATATTCTCCTGTTTGGTCTTCACCACTGTCCACACTGATTTCAAGCATTCTACATCTACCAGCAACGCTGTCAGTTATTTGTGCAACAGGTGCATCCTCTCGTAGGCTGCTCACTGCACTAGATTGTTCATCCTTTCTTAATTCACTTGCATGGGCAAAAGACCTCTCTACCGCTGCCTCAGCATCTATTCTTTTGTATTCTGGAACTTTTTTACTTTCATTTGATGTTACTTGCCCTTTGGATTCTAACAATTGTTTGGGACTCATGCAATCAGTTGAACAAAGATCCATATTCTTTAATTTCACTCCCCTCACGAGTATTTTACTGTGCTCTTCCTGAATTTTGTCACATTCTTCTTCTGAATCATCTACCCCAAGAATTTGTGCATCTTTTATTGTTTTTTTTCTGGGCGATTCAGTATTACTACTTTGTTTCATTTTTTTAAGACTACTGGGTGTTATATCATTCAAAAAGTCTTGTTTCACATCTTCATTTACGGTTGCATTAGCAGATTTGGAAGAACATTTGCTTGTAGATGAACTGGATTCTTTATTATGTGCGGTGACAGAGGAAGCATCTTTGTTGTCAGAGACTAATTGTGGAGCAGGTCTAGAATCAGAAATTACTAATGGATCAGATTTAACTGTGTCCTCAATTAAATTATCATTTTCTGAAACAATTCTGTTTACTTCCTCATTATTTTCTGCTTGTGCTTTCACTTGCATGCTCCTAGTAAGTCGTTTGGTAGTAATGGGCTGTTCCATATGAAAACAGCAAGACTCTGCATCAGAAATATCTTCACTCTGGGCTTCACAGACTGGATCTGGTTGTAACTTCTTTCTGCTTTGCCTTTTTCTTGTAGTCCTGGTAACGTTAGGCATCTGGATACCAGAAACAACACCGGAACAAGATTCAGCTTCAGAGACATCATCTTCATCCAGAGTCCTGCTTAACTCATTTAGAAAAGCAGCCTTGTCCTGTCTTTTTTTTGCAGGAGAATCTGGTTGATAAGGAACTACAATCTGTCGTCTTCTTGTTACTCTTATAATCAAAGGTGTCTGAAGACCAGACATAGCAGAGCAGTTTGATTCTGCTTCTGACACATCCCCATCAACCTGGGGTTCGGCAGCTGATTGTGCTGAATGAACAGTTGTGTTCTCATTTCTAGTATTTTTTATCTCTAAGCTATCACTGGCATCTGATTTTGCTTCTGGATGTTCCACCTGTTCAAGCTGAGATTCTTTAATTACCTCAGGCTTACAAATTGCTCTACTCCTTCTGGGCATCTTTGTAGATACAGAAGTACCAATTTCAGCAGATGTCATCTAGAAAGAAAATGAAAAATCTGTTATTAATGGATAAGATAATCTCATAAAAATTATGCTATGCAAACCACTAACAATCTTTTTTTACACAAATCTAGTCATGCTGATAATGTGTTAAAACTCTCCAAGTAACTATCTATGTCAAAGGAGCATTAATAAACCATTCCTTTCTTATCCATTTGTTTACTGTCTTTTGGTCAAGACAAAGCAAAGCAAACCACTGCATTAAGAAATATAAATAAAAAGATACCTTCTGTCTCATTCCACAAAATTCTGGCAAGCTGTCATAGGAAATAAATCCAGAAGTGACATTCTGAAACACATGCAGATTTGCTCGACTACAAATTAGACCTTAAAAGGTTTCTGAATCCATTTTTAACAGCATTAGGAACAGACTGGTCTCACGGCAACTGCAACACCAGGCACAATCTGCTTCAATTATGCTTGTAAGTTACCCTTGAAAACAAGTCAAAATCGTAGAAAAAACTCGGAAAAAGCATTGTGCAGCAGCAGGATCTTCCCGAAGCATAACATAACGTCGGATCACCATAAAACATGCTATCTGAGCGGTCAATATTGACAGCATCGTGCCCGCGTCTCGTGAAAAAGCTCCAGACAGGCGCTCAGCTCACAGCAAGGGAAGGGGGGCAGAGGGAAGATGGCTGCCGCAGCACCGCGCCTCACGCCGCAGCCCGCCCGCCGCAGCTCGGGGCCGCCGCCCGCCCTCTCTCCCTCCCAGCCCAGCCCCCACCCTCACCTCCGCCGCCCCGGCGGGCCGGGGCCCGGGGGTGCTGCCGGTGTCTCCAGCCGCCGCCGGCGGCGCCTGTCCCCGCCGCCTCGCTGCCTGCCTGGTGGCCACCATCTTGGCCGCGCCGTGCCCAGCCCCTTCCGGAGCGGCCGGCAGCGGCAGGGAGCTCGGCCCCCTGCGGGACAGCGCCGCTGAAGCAGCCAAACGCCAGAAACTGGCGGAGGCAGCCGCAGGGCCGGGTCCGCCTGGCACGAAAAGGCACCGGAAAGGAACCCGGGGGCTCCTGTGTTCACCTTCAGCTCTGGTTAAGGAGTGGTGCAAGAATAGGGTCTAGGCAAGCGTAAAGAAGGATGGGAAACCACAACGTTAGTTAACGGATCTTCACTAATGACAACGGTGGTGGTGGTTTTTTGTCCCCCCCCCCCTGTATCCAGTATATTAAATCTGTGAACGTGGCATCTTCAGATGATCAAAGCACGCAGCAGGCAGTGCCCCTTCTGTTACATAAAGGCTGAGGTGTGCCATTTTACAGGGAAATCCTCAAGCATAAAAACACAGTTAAGACCATTTCATGACAAAGTCTCAGTGTAAAATACTATTATCAACATAAGAGAAGTTATACATAGCATAAAAGCCTACAATTTTTAATTCAATTTTGCCAATTTCCCACCTTGATACACAAATAATGAAAACCCGATAAATTGTTATGCACTTAGCGCCACTACAAAAATAATATTGTGTCTTCAAAGGTACTTTTCTACAGCGAAATACCTGTTAACAGCTTATAGTCAGGAAAAAAATATTTTTTCCATTAGGGCAACCTGAACATTATTTTAGCACAATTCTAATTTTATGGAATTTCAGTGTATAAAACTGAACACACATGCAAGTCTAATACCATACAGAATGTCAACAGTCAAATTACAGTGGTTAATCAGCAGCAGCACTCGTCTCAGAGCTAGTACAGAAATTTAAAATGCAACTCCTTTTCAAAATCTGATACACGCTAACCCGACATAAAAAAAACATACATTTTGATTAGGAGAAAAAAATAAACATTTTATTGGTACATTACTAGTTCTAGTTCTCTCCCTCTTATTTATCAAAACAATTGAAGTAATTCATGAGAATTTCCTAGAGTTTGCCACATACAGATAAGATGATTAAGGACTCAAAGGTATCTTTATTAAAATTTGTATTTTAACTTAGTGGAATGGTTTATAGTAAGCTAATATTTCTAGACAGTGCCTAAAAGCATTCAAATTCTACTAGCTGCTGCACAACAGAATTTAAAAGACGTTGGTGAAGATTTATTTCCTTACAGTCTGAAGCTCAAAATATGTACAAATAAGTTACCCACTAACAGTATAAAGCCCTACTCCTACCTGAAATCAAAAGGAAAAGGAGTATTTGATTTTAGACACTTAGAGCCCATGCTGAAATACAGTTTGAGCTTCTGTAATATAGTCTGATTAAAATGCTAAGCAAATTAAAAGGCATTTTCAATAGAAAGACTATTTTTAAACCAGAAGCCTTGCCTTAGCTGCAGCAATCTCCCCAAGATACCAAAGCCAGTGCATTAAGCTACTGCCAAACAGAAATATACCTAAGTTTAACGAACCCTTGCTAGCATCATTTCTGAATGGCACTCAAGCAAGGAAGTTTCCTAGGCAACCCCAAAATAATAATCCATTTTACATGATCATGCAGCAAACATGTTCTCACTCGACTGATTCCAATTGCGTAGTTTCCAAGTATCAAAAAAACAAAAAGATAACACCAAACAGCTGAGGACACGCCAGGTACAATTTGAATTCTGATTAACAGATTTCTCATCATTTGTTTCCAGTTCTTATTTTAAACACTCACACAATAAAACATTTTCTATTTCAAACTGTAAAGATGTCATCACTTGTGCAAACACTAAAACAATATTGAGGCACAAAGAAGCCAGAAGGAATTCAAGTAATAGAAAGTAATTTGGAAGATGCGTCTTTTCTAAATCAGAGGTCTCTTACACAGTATTAAAAATAAACCAATTTTCCCATCCACACAAATTAAATAGCTGATTTACCTGTACATACACATGAAGTAACAAGATAGTTTATTTTTTTCAGAATATTTTTTCATGAAATATGACAATTTTCTATAAAAACTAGTCCTTGAATGCTTTAAATCTAGGTACCTACCATATCAATAACTATTATTTAATAGAAATTAAATTTTAAAAATATATCTGTTTCTCTATACTACCTAATGGTAGCTAAAATATGATAACTTTTACAGTGAACTGGTCATACAAAGAAATATTTTGAACTGTTTCTTATAGATCATTTCAATTAAAAACAATAAACCCAAAATATTTCATATTTTTAATGAACTGGTTAATAGGTTAAGAAAGAAAAATAGTGTTAGAACACTGCAGACACTCCTGCTAACATCACACTGAATAATTACAACTTTTGGTCTTTGTTATAAATGCTGTAAAAATCTCTCTAGGAAAAAACAATGTTCCCCCATCCCCAAGAAATTAAAACAGTAGGCCATTTCAAAGAAGAAAAAAAGGATGAGAGTGTTTTAAGAGGCAATTCTTTTAGCTTGCATGATATAGCCTTTGGACTTGATAATTCCTCTGCTTTTAACAATGACTGAATATCGGAGAATCCATAAAGGAATCCATTCGTGTGCTTTGACGTTCTGGATGCTTTCCTGAAGAACTTCTCGGAAGCTTGCTTCACAAAGTAATTCTGAAGTTAAAAAGGGATATTCATGCTTTAAACAATGTCATGTAAACAGCTGCAAAAAGCAACACTTAGTAAGAGAAGCTTTTGCCTACAGTCAAAAATCTTAAGCAGTGCTAGATACTCCACAGATCCACTCTTCCAGAATGCATGCAAGGTAAAAGCTGTTGAACATTACAGAAGAAATCTTCATGACAAGTTTTTTTGTTGTTGTTTTTTCAACACTGAGTATTTCCCACAGAACTAATAAACTGAGATTTCTACAATATCAAACGGACTTGATCAGCAGAGCTATTAGCAGGAAAACAGCAAAAATTAAAATTGAGAAGCTAGCCAGACAAACGAGAAGAGAACAAAGCGTAAGTCTGAAATCAGCAAAGTACTGAGTTACTTCCGCAGTCACGGGAAGCTCAACATTTATAGCATCTCCCATAACTGGGCTCATAATAAGCAAAAGCCAAGAAAGCATTAAGAAAAATAAGGCTTAAATGCCACAAGGCAGAAAAGGAAGGCAAATACAATTTTTCCTAGTTTCCTCTGGAAAGTCAGTCAAGGCAACAATCTTTGTAGAGGAGTGCTCCCAAAAGATAGTCTCAATGCTCTTCAGCTGACCAAGACAGAAAAATAATGCTTAGCAAACAATGCATGTGGGAATGACTCCTTGCTTTGTTTTCAATTTAACTCCTCTTCTTCATTTCATGACTCTTGATAGGCAGTATTTATGAAATTGCAGGCTTTGTTTTGGACATAGAATCTAACAAATATAATAGCAATTCATCTTATAGGCTGCTACATATTCAAGCACTGATGGAATTAATTAGCTATGACAATGATAAAGTAAAACATGGTACTTAATAAACAGCATTTCATACAGTTTTTTTCTTTGTTGGGGAGGATGTTAAAACAGGAGAAGAAAAGAAAAGTATGGTCATCATGAATAGCCGGTCATAAGGAAGAGTACAGAGAAGAAATAAACTAAGTATTGTTTAAGACCTCTGGCTTACAGCTCCAGCAAGATATTTAAGGCATCATTACAGTGAGGATGATAAGTTTTGAGAGAAACAAATGCAATATCCCAGAATATTCTAGTGAGCTGATAACTCGGAGTTCAAGAGTCTATAGGAAGTCTAACAGTCCTTCAATCATTTCATAGATGAATCACTGCACTAAACAACTAAAGAATTTACACCAACTCTCTTTGTAATAACAAGTCATCACTATTTTGAGAGACTCCTGCTTGAAGTTTATAATTTAATGTCTACCATTACCCCCCCCAAAAAAAATCAACTGACCATTGACATTTTTATACAAGTTTTTTGACAGAAAAATTCCAGGCAAGTGAACTTTCACTTGTCATTTACTGTTCTTCATCAATACAACTGTCATTTTGTTCTATGACTTATAGAAATAATCTATTTTTGAAAAATACATTGCAAAAATCTCTCAGTTCTTTATTCTTCTATTTACTTCATTTTCTCTGATTAAAACTATCTCAAAATACTATACCAGGCTGGGAGACTGCCTCCCAACCCCTTCCCTTCCTGGAAGGGAAAGCAAGAACTTAATAGAAATATTTTATGAAGGTGAAACTTCTAAAAGTTCAGGACTCAAATGTAACGAAATTTAGAGTTCAGAGAAAGATCGTTCCTGATGTTGTACTGAATAAATGCATTTAGAAGTCTTCTGTTATCATGAAGTGTCTGAGCACTTCAGAAGTTTTCTGTTAACTTGTTCAGACAAGCCTTACCTTTTGGGTCATTGTGAGTTAGCAGCTGTATGTCAAACTGCTTTGCAAATGCTGTGAGATCAGGTGGCATCACACAACAGGAAGCTAGGTTCACCTGATTACTACTTGGTTTCACCTGAAAGTAACAGAATGCTTTTTTAAGGAAAAACATTAGTTTAGTTGTTTGCCCCATGCCCTCTATTACAACAGAAATACCGCTTTTAACAATTGCCTTTGACCATCGTTCTGAGGTCTGGACAAGGATAACTAATTCTGCATGTTGCTGAACAGGCAACTCCTACACATGCAATTTGCTGCAGCATAGGATCCAAAACAAGAATAAGATCTAACTTCAGGTTAGATCCTCACCATGAGGCATGTACTAACCCATTTCGGCTTCATGCCTGCTGTGCTCCCGAAACAGCTGTGGGTTTCCACCCTCTCTTTGTAGTAAAAACATTATAGGGGTATTAGTTTGAAAAAGATCCCAAATAAAAATCCAGTTCCGTTAAGGAACATCTTCCATGCACTCAAGTCAGTGCCTAGAACTGCTCAAGTTAAAAGGGACTCTCTTCCGTTGAGCATCTGTTCGTCATGAACTACCTTCATGATCACCATGCAAGTGCCCATGAATTCATTCAATTGTCCTCCTCTCAACACATGCAATGCAGTGAAGAGTATAAGACAAGACTCTCAGCAGGACCTCTTATACAGATGCAGTACTTATCACAAAAGAAATGTCATTAAATGAGCATCCGAAGAACTGATAAGGAAACAGTAAATCCACAAGCTTACATGAGCATGGCCGGGTACTAGGACAGACCTCCACCGCTCAAATGCGACAAGGCAATTAGTCACACTGAACAACAAAATATTGTGCCGCTTGATTCAGAGTCTCTCTTCTTTCCATTTAAGCAGCATTTTTCTTAGGGGGAAATCCTTACTTTCATAACACAGCTTGCAGTGAAAACTACTATGTTCTCACTGGAATAAATCCAAAGGTTTAAGGGTACTTTTTATATTCCTTTTAAGTATAAGAGCATTCAAAACTAAAACCTTCACTTCTTCAAAGAACCCGTACTGAACAGCCCCATGGTTTCCAGTTTTTGCAGGCCTGTTTGCAGGAACACTGACCAACATCTTGACAGTACTGAAAGTATCTGGGGCCATTTTTTATTATTTTTTAATAAAACCATTTACAATTGTGACAGCCACCTAAACAGTAGTTAATCTGTCTTAGAAATGCTACAAATAGGAAGTTTGTTCTCACCTGTGCCCACACATACAGCTGCTCTAACAATGCTTTATCAAGGTCAGAGGTACCTATGGCAACAATCTTTTTGTTCTGAACTAGAGTTTCAAGTTCTTGCCAATAAGGTTGCAAATACTCCAAGGAGAGGCTAGTTCCATCTTCAATAGGAGGCGGGGCAATAATGACTGAATCTAACTGAGCAACTCCAAGGGCTGAACATGCTGAATAAACAGAAAAAAGATGCATTTTTTTTTTGTGAAATAAGAACATAAGCAGCATGACATCTTAAATACAGAAAACAAACAAGCAAAAAAAAAAACATCTGCTTTGCTCTGCTAGTTTCCAATTCACCATTTGAGAATTCCAAATGTATCACTAACCAAGGATAGTAATACAAATTTTTTAGCCAAGAATCAGAGATGAAGGACATCTGAAATATCACAGTTAGCGCTGAAATTCACACTGTTTTGAGCTGCCCCTTTTAAAAATTTATTGAATCACTGTTATAAGAAAACCACATGCTACTTGCTGTTTAACAAGTTCTGTGCAAATGAGTAAGAACTTGCTCCTTCTTGGAGCAAGGAATCAGATGAGTGTTTGGATCCAGGACTACAGAGGTCCATGTCTAATAAGCTTACTAACTGAAATAGTGTGCAAGTTTTACTTTACCACTCATGTCTCTCTTTAGAGAGAAACAATGTATACTTGTGACACACACTGAATACACCTTTTAGATTGAAAATATCCTGATTTTATTTCTAAATACCAAAGGGAGTTCAAGTTTCACACTTACCCATGTCAACTGCATCTCTGACTGATGATGAGTTTGATCCAACGATGAAAAGTTTTGCTATTTTCAAAGAAACTGAAATCAATATCTAAAGAAACCAGCTATTATTAAATATATGGTGTATCTAGCAAAAGCAAAGAGCTATTTGTGAATTCTTGGGTAAAGCGTTTTAAGAATATACACCACTTCAAAACTGAAAAAAAACTTCTGAAAGGTGACTGCCCAATAATGACACTGTTCTCTTAAATTTGGTAGTTGTTGCACAGTCTCAGAATAAGAAACCGTATGTTCTAATAAGCTGTAAAGTTAGGACTTAAACATCAAGACACTAAACACTAACCATAACCTGGACAAAAAAAAACATAGCAGTATAAACAGACTTCTTCACAACTTAGTGAGACTCAAAACGTACTAGTGTTAGTTTGGACTGCCTCCTTCATCATATTCAACCCAGAAAAATTATGCAAATAAATCTGCTTCCAATGCTACTTCTTAATTACTTAATTCTAAGTAATTTGCTTCAGAAAAAGTCAAAGATTTACAAAATACATTTAAAATATCTCGAGGGGATGGAAGTTAAACTAGGAAAATTTAAGCTGCTTGATAATTAAGATGCTTTAAAACCTGAAACATGTTCAGGTCTTTCTCAGCCAACTGATTCAAATATGACAGTGTTTACTGATGCCACGTGACTTTGCAGTAACAAAACAGGAGGGAAAAAATATATATATGAACATCCTGTTGTAAACAGCACATGAAACCTCTTTGTGCAACCAGATTTTTTAATTGCCTTCTTACCTGATACTTTCAACTCATCCCTTTCCTCAGGATTCATTTTTTCTACAGCTTGAGCTACAGTACATTCCAGAACTTCCAGTATTTCCTTCAGTAAGCAGATGAGACAACTCATCAATAGGTGACAATAAGATTCTGAGGAATATTTTTAATTAAAGCTAACAAATAAACAAAAAACCACCTTACAGCACAATTAGAAACAAAAGTAGTATAAAAATGCAATTACACAGAAAGAAAGCAACCCATTGCTTCTTCACCTCTGTGAGAACAGAGGAAAATAAAGCTATATGACAATTATGGACATATTATGCTCCTAACAGAAAAATTATGACTGTCTGTTGAGAATTATTGGAATAACCGTTTGCAGTATTCTGCTTTTCTGATGCAAAAAGATCACCACGCCAATTCAAACTACCTCGCTAAAAAAAAAAAAAAAAAAAAAAAAAAAAGCCTCAGGGCTGGCTGAAAAAAGCATTATCCAAATTAGTATTTTGTGGTGTTGGGTGGGAACAACTTTGTGTAACAGTATTTCGTACTTTCAGGGAAATCTAGCATGAAAGTGCTGTTTAAAAATTTTATACAATAATTTTGAAATTAAGAAATATTCAGAGATTTCACCCTTTGTGGTCACTTCAGGCCAGACCGTGTATCAGCTGGTACAAGGTAACTTTAAGGCTTTATCTCCATGAGATTCTGTATGATAACAACACAAGCATGCACACCCCACCCCTATAACCAAGAACTCTGGTAGTATTTCCTGCCCTACAAAAAAAGTCCTCAAGTGAATCGTGAAGTAATTCCATGCAGTCAACATTCTAAACAGAAGTTAACACTTTTTGAATTATTGGAAGCTGATACAATTCATAAAAGAATTCATATATATGCAGTTAACATGTTTTGAGAGAAAACCCAGCTTACACTAAACAATTAATTTTAAATGGATCACTACATCCCATTGATACAAACATTTATATTTATGTTCACTTCTTGAGCAATCATTAGATCTTCCACAAATCATTCAGCAATAACTGCCTCACCACACTCCAGTGTGGAATGTAGCAAAGTGCATTTTCATGTGTCATCATTACACAAGAACTGGTAACAAAACAAACAAACAAAAAAAAACTGCCTGGAAAGTTTTGTGCTGTTTTTAAAAGAAATATGCTAATATTTTACAGAGCAAATACATCTACTGGGAACTTCTTACTGCTTTGCTGAATTTCAGAAGCAATAGCGAAAAAGGAACAGACAAATGCTGGCAACGACAGTGGTTTTAAGCATTACATTAAAGTCTCCAGTTCTTAAAGGGAAGATTGCCACTTCTGCATCTTTGGGAATATTTCTGTATTTCTGAAACATCCAAGACTACACTTCAGAGTTCCCTGCCCAACTGGACAATCTTTATCTATCTAGTTTATCATCTCCATGGTTTAGATGCATGCTTGTAAAAACTCAGGGGAGAACTATCATACTTCTAAGGTATATGATTTTTTTTTGGTGTGTTATGGATCATCTCAACAATTAACTTGAAATCTTACCAACCAGGACTTTTTTTTTTTTCCAACTAAGAATCATCTTCTCTCATCAACAGAATTCTTTACTTTGGTATTTCTTAACTTCTTGAGAAGTATTAAACAGAAAAAAACCAACAGATTTGAGAAATACTATTTTAAGGTATCTGAAGCTGCAGGTAATTTTATAGAAATTTAATAGATTTGTTTATATTTTAAAAGGTGTAACCATAAACATATTTCTGTTTTCACACGTAACACGCATAATACCTCTCCTACCTGATTCAGATCTTGTCCTATCTTTGAGCTCCATTCAGTCAGCGTTTTCTGAATGCAGTCCCGCACCTAAAAAAATATATTTTTTCTCATTGAAGTGTAGTTTTGTTTTAGCTGCAGAGAAATACAATGACTCATAGGCATACAGGACAGACAGACAGCCCGTGAACTCATGACACCATTCCTCTAACCACAGAAGATTCTTCCTTCATAGCTTCCATCTGAAACTTGTTCAAACTAGTTTACTTCAGAAAATTCCTCTCCTCTTTCACAGCATGTTACCAGTAATACAAGTACTGTACTTCATTTATTTTCCAATGCTGTCTTAAAAGAAACGAACAACTGTTAAGAACTAGAGGGTTGGTTTTTTTTTTGATTGTTTTTGAAACGTAAAGATTTGTAAGTTGCAAAGTAGTCAGATAACAGCATACATGCTGTAACATCCTTGGAAAAGAGACTTTACAAGTCAATCACTCATTATATTTATAGTTTCTCTTCCTGAGATGCATCTGACCCTTCTCCTTTACCACCTACCTATTCCATTGCACCGAATCTTTAGGGGGATCCTTCAGTTCCTACCCTGCACTTGCATTTTTCCTGATTTCACAGATGCAAAATAGACCTGACAAGGATTCTATCCGTGTATCTTCTTGAACATAGCAAGGCATAACTATTAGGTCTCCATAAGCTAATTAACTGACTGCATATTGCACCAGTGCTTCAGCTGCTCCAATGCTCTAACTGCCTTATGATACCTCTCAGGACAGGCCACACTGCAGGCTCAGGAAACCTAATAGAGAGTCTGGGATCTGCCATGGAGAGAAGCACTTCTTAAGTTCCCACTTCACATTGTAACATTGTACTTTATATTTACGTGGATAGCTCCTTTTTGTGCCATTAAATAGCAATTTCTTGTGATGCTGAACATTAATTCAGAGAGCACAAACTGACTGAAGGCAACGCCCCACCACCAAACAAAAAACTGGATATCATGAAGTTTAAGACATAATACAGTGAGCACACTTTGTGAACACAAATGCGGTACACCCTGTCCTTGTCACTTAAAATGCTAGGAAAAAAAATAACTGACTCGAAAGGCAAGAAAGAACTGGCTTGCCCCCCCCCAAACTGATACCCATGATACCCAAAATAAACTATCTTTTCCTTTCTGAGGAAAAGTTAAAAGGTGCTGAAGGGGTATCATTTACTACTGCTTTGCAACACTCACACCTTGTATTAGTACTGCAGTTAGTACGAACAAACCTCTGTCTCCAAGGCACACCACCACCACCTCTCGACACATGTGGAAAGCACAGCATATGACTCCAAATACAGTCACATCCCCAAACTCCTAGCCCTAGGGTTCATATTTTGAAAAATGTTGGCTTACACTAAGAACTATAGACACTACACTGAATAGAAGCGATAAAAGCTGAATTATTTCTAATAAATAACGCTACTATTGCTTTTGGAGTACCAGCAACTCTGGGAAGTTGGCAGCCTTATGTTTGAATGCAGATTTCTCTGTAAACAAATGGAGAGAAATACCTTAACTGATTAGTTATGCACATTGGCCACTCTTTATTTAATAGCCTTCCAAAAGTTACTGGAAAGGCACATTGTAGCAGGCAGCCTTATTTTGCTATAAAATCTAATCCTCTTTCACATAGATCACAGAACACTGTAGTAACGAGGACAAATTAAAAAGCTATTGCCACATGACAATTAGAAGTATGATGAATTCTCCTATCTTATTACATCATCCTCTCTGACAGTCACCTTTCTTACTGCTTGCTCTCAATTAACATGCCCTCAACCAGCTCCTGAGGCACAGCCAGCGTCGCTTCCAGGCTTCACCCAGCTGCAAGGAAGGCTCTGGTGTCTGCGCAGCGCCGGCTCGCTGAGCGCCGCGCTACCACCAGGCAACAAGCAGCGGTTTGGAAGCCTGTGGCCGCAGGGCCTCCATCCATTGACACAGAATTATTGCAAAGGTTGACGCGTACTGTTTAAGATAGCGGTTTTAAAGCATTAGTTAAAGCGATCTTTCCGGGCTTTTTTTTTGAAAGAGGACCACCGTGGTCTTTAGAGAAGACAGCAATGACCGAATCTCCCCAGGATGCGTCACCACCAGCAAATTATTAAGGCTAACTCCAAGTTGCACAGGAGCATGCCGGTTTCATCTCTGCAGCGGCGGTCTCTAGCTACTGACACATCCATCGCCCCGCTGCCATCGCAGGCGGCCCTTCCGCTCGGTCCTTCACGCCCCGAGGCCACCAGGCGGCCCCGCACGGCCGCGCCTGTCCGAGGGGCGGCGGGGGCAGCCCGAGCCGGGCCCAGCACCGCTCGGCTCGGCTCCCGCGGGGCGCCAGCGGGCAGGCCAGCAGCCCCGGCACCGCCTCAGGGCTCCGGGCGCTCCCCCAGGCCCCGCCGCAGCCCCCCCCCCCCCCTCCCGCGGGGAAGCCCCGGGGCCGGCAGCGCCGCGCTCACCTCCTCGCTGGGGGTGGCCGGGCACTTCTTGCGGCCGCAGCCCCAGCTGAGCAGGTTGCCGGTCTGCAGGTTGAGGGTGGCCGCCCGCTCCAGCAGGGCGCGGGCGCTGTCCGTCCCCATGGCGAAGCCCCGCGGCACCTGCCGGGGCGGGCAGCGCAGCGCCGTGACTCAGCACCCGCGGAGGGCGGGCGGGCGGGCGGCGGGGACGCTCCGCGGCCGGCCCCGCTCACACGGCGGGGAGGACAATGGGCGGCGGGGCGGGCACAGCCCGGGGAGCGGCGGGCGGACCGGGCACGGCTCGCCCCGCCGCCGCCACCCCCTGCGCCTGCGCGCCGCCGGGCCCCGGCCCCGGCCCTCAGCGGGCAGCGCCCCCTGGGCGCCGGGCGGGACGCGGCCTCCCGCGGGCCCACGGGGGAGCGGAGGCCCCGGGAGGCCCCGGCCCGGCCCGGGCTGGCCCCAGTGCTGCGGGGGGGCGGCCGCGGGCGGTCCCCGAGCGCGGCCCCTTCCCGGCAGCCGCGTGGGCTGCGCCGTGGAGTCACTGGGTTTCTTCTGGGATGATGGACCCAGCGCTGAAGTCCTGCACTGCAGGTTCAGAAGGGGGCTCTGTCAGGGGGGCTCCGGGGAGCAGGAGGCTGCGGGTTGCGCTGTGGCCAGCACTGGAGCTGAAGGGCCCGTTACAGGGTGCCTGCTCCGGGCGCTGTGGCGCAGCCAGCCGGGGCACCGTTTGCACGACCTGTTGGTCTGAAGAACTGCCTGAGAGCTTTCTGACGGAAGGTTGGCTTAAATGGCTTTTGTGTTTGTGTTCTGGTTGCTTTTCTGTATTTACCTTGATTACTTTCACATTTCGGAGAGTTTTCCTCAGTATATGAACGCAGGCCATTTGGAAGACAAATATACCGAAGGGACGCCTGCTTCTTTGGACAGGCAGTAATTCTGTTTTCCTTTAACATAAACATCCAGAAGGTCTAACCAGCTCCCAGCACTAACCATCCAAACACATAACTGCCTTGGAAAGCAGCATGCACCTCCAGCCTGTCTTCACACCGGTAGTGAATTCTGCCTCACTGGGTGTTTCTGATCTCAGGCGTGCTGGTGGGGGCCTCCTGCTTTGTGCATCTGAAATTTATTCTCCAATATTTTGTTTAAGAAGCTTTGATGGTTATAGTCCTATGGGAGCAGATAAAATTTGGGGTTAGCAAAGGGCTTCCAAAGAGCGCGTGGTATAAACCTTTCTGTGTAATGGAAACTTAGAGCTGTGAAAAAGCAACGTTTCTGTATAGCAGGTAGGATCCGTTCATGTTTAATTCCTTTAGCTCTCACAAATGGACAATGGAATAAATAGTAGCTGGAGGAAAAAATAATACCAGCCTCTGTACTGCTTTATGCTATGCGCTTAATTCTGACAGTGATGGGAGCACGTCACGGAAGGGACCCAGCCCAGGTCAAACCACACAGAAACGCGAGGTACGCCTGGCAGAAAAAAAAAAAACCAGGAGGGTGTTTTCTGGCTCTCGATCAGTTGCGGGTTTTGGTGGTCATCTCATTTCTCTACCTCTGACCAGCACGCACCGTGAGACACGGCTGATCCCCTGCAGCTCCCCTGTGCCTCTCCAGGGAAATACCCCCCTTTTCGAGTCAGACGCCGCCGAGCCGTGGCTCTGGCCCTGCCTTTCCCCGTCTCTGCACGCTGCAGGGCGCCTTGCTGCCGGCGCCCCGCGCTGCTGCTGCCGCCCGCGGCCCCGCGGCTCGCCCGGGCCGGGGCGGGGCGGGGCGGGGGGAACCGGGAGGGGGGCCGGGGGGGCTGGGCGGTGCCGGAGCCCCGCCGCGGGGGCCGGGCGCCGGCTGATCGGGGCGGTGCGGGGCCGGGAGGGGGCCGCGGCGGCGGGAGGCGGCGGCCGCAGGATGGGCGGCAGGGCCGGCTTCTTCGAGGTGGGTGCGGGCGGCCGGGGGGCAGCGGGGCGAGGGGCGGCCCGGGCGGGGCGGGGGTCCCGGAGCGGTGCCCCAGGGCTGCGGGCTCCTTGCGGGCTGCGGGGCGGCGCGGCTCGGCTCGGCTCGGCTCGGCTCGGCTCGGCTCGGCCGGACGAGGAATGTTCTGGGCACCCGGTGGCCCGGCTTGGGGCACGACCGAGCCCGGCCCCGTGGGGCTCAGAGGAGCGCAGCCTCGAGGGGCTGGGGCCCCCGGCTCCCCGTGCACGCTGCCAGTGCGGAGTGACATGCACCTGGGCGGGCGGGGAGCCGCTTACATAAACAGCCGCACCAACTCCGCTGGCATCGTGTTGGCTAATGCAACGTGCCTTAAAGAGTTACCCAGAGAGGTTGGTGCGAGCCTACCGGTGGCAATCCGAAACGGTCCCGCAGGTTTACGGTTCATTGTCCCCAGCACAAGACTCACCTAACGTTGAATGCGTTTTTTCCCCCCCTCCCGTGCAAAATACAAAAGAGCTGTTACTACAACGTTAACAGAGTCTAAAAAAAATCAAACTGCTTTTGTAGTTACTTACCTTGACCTAAAAGTTCAGATGTTGCTTTTCAAAGCTCTGAAAGCTTTCTGGATGTCACTAATGCTTCCGCAAATTAAGCTGCCTCTAGCCCTTGTGGGTGTGTGGTAGGCACCTGCAGTGCCTTTTCCCCTGCAATACTCACTTCCCTGGTTATCTATTTATTTTTTAGGAAAAACAACCATGCTTTTCACTGCCTCCTGCATTTCTATCGCTGTCCCTAGGTCCTGTGATATCCAAACGCAGGATCAGGCACATGTGTAATACCCCTCTAAACATCTCCAGTCATTGTCAGGTTGGCAGGTTTGCTCTTCTGCTCCAGTTGTACTGAACTTCTTTATAGCACTCACTACTAGGAGACCTCAAAAGCATGGACATAATTACTACCTAATTGTACAGATGGAGAAACATGAAAAAGTGGAATGATGTGTGCTCTACCTCACGAGGCAGAACAATAGCAGCAGATCCAGATCTTTTGTGTCTTTAATTGATATCCTGTGTCTAAGCAACACTAATTCAAATTCAGAATGTCTCATGAATTTATTTACAAGTCAGCCTCATATGTCTTAGTCCTTTTCTCTGTACAGCAGATAATGTGTGGAAACAGATTTGCCCAGGCACAGCCAGTGTGTGTCTGAGCAGACTCAGGGTGTGGGATGTGGACAAAGACAGCTTAGGTAGTACTAAGCAGTGCTGCTGCATATCGCTTTCAGCACTGTTCTCCCTGCTGACTTGCTTTCTGTTATAAATTCAAGACAGCTCAGTTAGGAAAGTTAGGAAAGGAGAGAGAGTAAATGTCCCACCATTCCCAAGACTTCCTAAAGGGAAAAAAATTCTCTATTGATATTACAAACATTAATGTTCCCTGCTTTGGGTTAGTCTGCAGTTCTGTGCTTTTGTCTGTACATGTCAGAGCCATTTACCCTTTATTGCTTTTCTGTGGTACCTCTTTGTAAGAATCACAAAGCGCTTTGCAAACACCAAACTGTTGCTGTCTAATTTTTTTTCTAATATGACTATTACAAGTTAGTGGAGGTTTATTGGTCGAATGCTTCTTTCTCTTTTGTTGATTTTTTTTTTTTTTTGCGCATTTTATCATGCCTAGTACCTAACTGCACCTTGAATATTGTGTTCAGTTTTGGACCCCTCACTACAAGAAGGATGTCAGGCTGGAGCATGTCCAGAGAAATGTGTAGATACAGAACTTAGTAGCATTGTTTAGTGGTGGACTTGTCAGTACAAGGTTAAAGGTTGGACTAGGTGGTCTTATAAGTCTTTTCCAACCTGACTGATTCTGTGATTCTGCAATCAATTTCATACTGAGTATGTAGGAAGGTCCTCTCCCCTAACCATGAATAAAATGTGAATGGACCAACAAAAAGATGGGCGAGAACACCAGTCTGACTGTGAGTGCTCAGACACCGGCTGTTAATTCTTTTCCTTGAACGAGAGTCTTCCTCATTTATGCTAAGGACAGAAATACTTCAAAAACAGGCAACATTGTATTAGAGTGACTTCTAAGTAGCCAGTAAAGGCAGGTGCAGCTTTGGAATCACCTTTAACTACTTATTTTAAATAGGTTGTGTTCAAACTTAAGTACCAACAATTATGAGCCTAACTGATGAAGCCAAAGTGTGCTGGACCTAATGGATCAATACCCAAAAATCCAGAGCGGCTGAGTGATTTTCCCCTACCTAACATGTAGTCAGGTCCCTGAACTCCTAGACCCGTGTCTAGGTGACTCTGTACATTTCTTGTTCTGCAATAAGGCTAGAATGGGTTTTATTTACTTTGGGCACCGGCATGTTTCTAATTTCACCTTGCAGCTGTTTTATCACTAATAGCTCAGGAGAAGCCTGGCAAGAACAGCTACTGTTTAAAGACATGTGCATACCTGAAAGTACTGCACCTGATAATATGAGATTCACCTCCCAGAATTTAGAGGTCTGTGCTAGAGACTGGTATCGAGATAACTGATAGTCTCTAGGAGCGCTCATTTCTCTAAGTGTATTAGAAAACAACTCTTCTGACCTAGTTTAGATGTGTTTCAAAGCTGATGATGAAGCTTATCCTAAAAGTGCCAGCTTTTCTCCTTTCCCTACAAAGGGTGTTTATATGACATGCTCAGAGGTAAATGTCTGTAGTGCAGAGCTCTGAAGTTAGGCTAATGAATTCTACCCTTTTTTCTACTTGATAGGTTTAAGTCTTCAAAAGCATTTCATATAAAGAAAACAGTATGTCCCTGTGTCTTCCTAGAGGAAATATGCTTGAGCAAATACACTCACATTGTACAAAATTAGCACCATAAGAGCTTCAGTTGTAATTTTGCTTCCTTAACTGGTTTGGATGAGGAGTGCCTTTTGTAAGCTTTGCTAACCCAAAATATTTTGGACTCTGTTCCCTGAGGATAGATTGAGCTGACATATGCAGTACAGTCTAAAAGCTATAATGTAGTGCCCCCCTGCTTGCTGGCATTTAAAGTTTCTCCCCCTTCTGACTGTGATGAAAACCTTCTGAATGCAAGGGGGGATGGCTGCTGCCTCACTGGCATTGCTGAGATGTCACAGCTCCTGTTACAAAGGTTTCTCCCACTCAGAGCTATGCTGTCTAAAGCCTCATCAAGTAGAAACACTGAGAACAAGTGCCAAAAGCAGGACTGCAGAGGATTTTAAGATTCTGTATCCTCCAAGAGCAGCCTGAGCAAGACAAGGCCATATATGAGATGTTTGAAGGGTCATTTAAAGGGAGACTGCCAAAAACTGCCCAGCGATTT